GATGCAGTGTGCACCTAAATGGATTGTTAGTTAAATTACTCTTCATTTACTTGTTAGCTACATTATACTTTCATATCTTCAAACAGATTTGTTTTGAGAGATAATTTTGACTCAGTTTGAATTGATCAATAGTGAAGAATTTAAATACTTCCTTATTTTAAATATATATTTTACCATAAGAAAAAAAAAGTTTCTCTTCACAATACTTTTTTAAGGGTGGATTTTATTAGCCAAGTCCAGCCAGTGTTGTGAAATGATTTTTTTTAATTATTCAAAGAGAAGCTTACAATGAAGTATAGGTAGTCCTTGACTTATGACCACAATTGAGCTCAAAATTTCCATTGCTAAGCAAGACAGTTAAGTGAGTTTTGTCCCATTTTATGACGTTTCTTGTCACAGTTGTTAAGTGAATCGCTACAGTAATAAAATTAGTAACATAGTTGTTAAATGAATCTGGCTTTCCAATTGATTGTTCTTGTCAGAAGGTTGCAAAAGGTGATCTCATGACCCTGGGATACTGCAACCGTCATAAGTATGAGTCAGTTGCCAAGCGTCTGAATTTTGATCATGTGACCACAGGTATGCTGCCATGGTTGTGTGAAAAATAGTCATAAGTCACTTTTTTCAGTGCCATTGTAACTTCGAATGATCACTAAACAAATGGTTGTAAGTCGAAGCCTATATATTACTTAACTGCCAACAATCAGAGGAAAAGTAAAAATAGAACTAATAATTCTTGGTTTCTGTTCTGTTCTGCAGAATCTATTGTTTTTAAGAGTCTTGATCTCTTTTCATCTCCTGCTTAAATTCTGCAAGACTCTCCAGCTATTTTCAGAGTATCCCAGTGTAAACTTTATTAGCACTTATTTTGTCCTCCCTGGCATCTTTTTCTTACTATGGGTAGTCCTTGACTTACAACAGTTCATTTAGTGACCATTTGAAGTTACAAAGGCACTGAAAAAAGTGACTTAAGCAGCACCCTCCATGGTCACGTGATCAAAATTCAGACACTTGGCAACTGACTCATAATGATAATGGTTGCAGTGTCCAGGGTTAATGTGATCACCTTTTGTGAGCTTCAACAAGCAAAGTCAGTGGGGAAGCCATTACTAACTTAATAACTGCAGTGATTCACTTAACAACTGTGGCAAGAAAAATCATAAAATAGGACAATATTCACTTTACAACTGTCTCATTTAGCAATGAAAATTTGGGGCTTAATTGTGGTCGTAAGTCGAGGGCTTCCTATATTTTGTTGTTCCCAAACTAACTTCACTGGATCTATGTAATACAAACCTAAATTCTTCCTAATGAGGCATCATATAATTTATTTGATTTATACCTCACATTTTGATCTGAAAACTAGTTATACATAGCATTCCCTCCTCGGACCACTGATCAAGTAGATTTGGCTTAGCCTGAACTTGAACTTGATGTCAGTCCAATTCCTTAATCATTGCACCACACCTTTACTAATATTAATATTAGTGTATAGTACAACATTAGGTACTTTGCTTTTTTGTCTTTAGTACAGCTTCTTTTTGACATTAAACAAAGGCGTTTGTACTAGAAGACTCCCTTTCAGAAAACTGGCCTTTGCTCACTCCTTGCTGTGACATATTCTTCTATCTGAGAATCCTAGGGACTGATTCCCAAACTTTCATCAATTGCATTATACCTCAGTGCACTTGCTAAAATAGGGAAAATGTGATTAATTCATCCATGTTGATAAAGTGGGATGGAACTGAATGATAACATTTTCCAACCTCTTTTGTTTTTCATGAAGTACAGAAAAGGGTAAAGAAAGTGATAATTTGGAAGCCTTATTTCCTGAGACTTAATAAATAAAAGTTAAGGTAAATTAAAATTTATAGCCCTTTTTATTTGCATAAGCCCTGGGCATAGCTTACAGTAAAGTTTAAATTAAGTATAATTAACTAAAAATTAACTGAAAAAAACATTGAAGGTGAATCATTGAGCAAGACAAAGTAGATAACTTTGACAGAGCTTCTACTTTTTTACTCTTAACTTTTCATTGGGCTTTGTATTGCTTTGCCTGGCTCTCTTTCTTTTAGCAGAGATCTCCATCTAGCTCACAGATTAAGCTATTAATGTATGCAAGAAAGCATGAAAGCCACATGTAAATCACTGCATGTGACAACATCCATGCATGCCACTTGTTGCACGCACACATATAAAGTATGTTTTCTACATATATGAAGAAATGCAGCATACCAGTATGTGTAAATGGGGAGAACACAGATATGTGTGAGGCTGCTGTAGGCCATGGCTTTTTTTGTGCTTACTCCATATAAATGACACATGAGCCATTTGTTTGTAATTACTTTCTTGTGTTTCTTATTATTTACATCTCCTAAACCTTTTCCCCAAAGAAAAAGACTGCTTCTTTTGTATCCTAAGGCTAACAAACATGAGTGAAGAGGGCAATGGCTTACCAAATTATAATTTACAATATTAAACATAATATATTCCCTCCATGAAGCAAGGGAATCATTTGTATACTAGCTCAGAAATGTAAGAAATAATCATATGCCATTCAGTTCATAGATGAATACAACAGTTGAAAAAGTTCACTTAAGATTGAGGAACATTTTAGCAATAGCACTAGCACTTAGACTTACGGTATATACCGCTTCACAGTGCTTTACAGCCCTCTCTAAGCGGTTTACAGAGTCAGCATATTGCCCCCCAACAATATGGGTTCTCATTTTACCGACCTCAGAAGGATGGAAAGCTGAGTCAACCTTGAGCCACCGACAATAGAACTGCTGAACTGCTGGCAGCCAGCAGTCAGCAGAATTAGCCTGCAGTACTGCATTCTAACCACTGCACCACCACGGCTCATAATTTTGCAAATTATTTGGAGAAAATGCTTAGAAGCATGATCATAAAACATATCTGCACCTTTCCTGACTTTTGTAGCTGCCTCTCTGTAGCTATCATGCGATTCCTGAAAAAGGGTTGACTGCTTTTAAAAGAGTTGCAGATAGATACTGTGAAGCACTATATTGAAATCAAATGCATAATACTGTACAGCCCATTTGACCAAACTGTAGTTTGTGTTTCCTGTAGTTGTTAAAAGTTTTCAGTGCATATCTAGAGTGTAGTATCTTTATGGAATCTCTTTGTCTTGGATTGTTGCCACAGTCCTCTATTTTCTCAGTGATGCCTACTAAACTGGGCTGGATTTTGATTTCATAACCTAGCACATTTCATGATACCATATTCAGCAAAGCTGCTTTAATAGGAATGAATCTTGAAAAGGCAAGGCTTTTCTGTCCCATCTATAGGCAAATATACTATTTTGTATACTTGACTGTATTCATTTGTGATCATGGTTAGCTGTCATAGAAATCATTTAATGGGGGGTATAAAGAGGCTTGGTTTAAAGGCATATGTTGGTAATAAACCTACGGGGATGTTAGATCTCTTAGGAATGCCACTTGAAGTATGTCCTGAAACAAATTCAATTAAAATCAATATATCCCAGCTTTTTAAAATGGAAGGGCAACATTTGTGGCACTCTATATGTAGCAGTTCTATTTATTCCTCTTATTACAGGAAGATACAAAGATACTGTTTTGCAAAAACATAACTGTAGATAGGAACAATGGAAAATAGGAGTCATAGGTTTCTGAACTCTCTTAAGTGAGCCCTTCTGGATCTTTTCCAGTTTTTTGTGGCTGCTATTGAATCATTTGTTCAGTGCATTACTAAACTTCTGCTTCATGAGTGAGCAGAGTGTTCCAGATGTTTTTGGATTGCCATTCTCATCATTCTTGGTAACTAATCAAGACCTTTGGGGAAAAAAGCTGAGGCCACATCAAAACTGTAGTTTCATATTGAAATCATATGGATTAATACCTTTCAAGACAGCAAAATATTAAATTAAAATGTAATTCTATATGCTGTTCTGGTCCATTTTTCTAATATTTTACATGAACTTGAAAAAAAGGAGAAAGAGATATAATTGTGAAGATATTTATGAAGTATCTTGTGAGATATAAAACTTACGCTAAAATTAGCTTCACAGGTTTGATCTATGAAAGTTGTGTGATACTTGTTTTAGTTCTTAAGTCCCACAGGAATTTCCATTGTAACATTTTTTCAGCTAATGTTTTTCTAACTTGTACAGAACAAGTTCTATATTCCACTATTAGTATTTTAATATTTTTTTGAATTTTTATTTATGTGCTTAAACTAAATATACTACAAACAAAAGATAAAAATTGCAACACTGTAGAAGTGGGTATCAGCACTATACTACGATGGTAACTTTTTAAATGGATGCACACATTTGTAATTTTGGATTCCCAAATATTTGTATGGGACAAACAGATACTGAATTTTCATAAGAAAACTGTCAGGGAATGGTGCAGCCAGTGTCCAAATGGAGTCAGAGACGCTGACAAGAACTTGCAGTTTTATATAAATAAATATATTTACAGTAAATAAGAGAGGCAAACAGGAGAGGCAAATCATCACAGCAGGAACATCATGAGGTAAATTACAGAGAGCATGCACCGCACACAGAGGAAAAAGGCGGGAAACAAGGAAACTCCCCCTTTATTCCAATTACACCAATTATAGCTCTGATTCCCTCATGCAGTGGACAGCTTTCTTTAATCAATTAGCTATAACTGTGTGTTCTTATTGTACAACCCTTCATTGCTCCAGCTATTCAATTTTTAAATATCTTAACACCCTTCCAATTTATAGCTGGACAGCATTTAAACCAAATTGTTTCACAAGATCCTTGTGTTTCTATATATCCAATGGCTTTGTCATGAGGTCAGCCAAATTATCTTCTGATGGACAATAAATTAGGTCTATTACATTTTCTTTCATTGCTTCTCTGACATTGCAAGAAAACACACCATGCCACTGTGTGGCTGCTGATATGGATAACCTGTACCCAGTATACATATTGCTATAGTCTTTCTCCCCTTTCTCTAGGCCGTGCCCCCTCCCGGGTGGAGATGGAAGCCAATGCAGCAAGCGATGAGGGTGTGCATTTCCAGAGCTACCCTTTTGACTTCTTGGAGTTCCTGAACCACCAGCGCTTTGAACCTATGGAGGCCTACAATCACGAACACGCCAAAGCTGTTGCTGCCCTCCCTTGCCCACAGCCACAGTATGAATATGCCCAGCCACCGACAGCTGCTCCACCTGCTCATTTTGACCGCGTCCCTGCCACCATTGGCACACCTAAACCCAAAGCTGAGGGCCCGTCCTCCTCCTCTTCCTCAGCCACCACATCTGGGACCGTTCAAGTCAAGAAAGCTGAGCCAGGGGCCCCTGCACCACCTCCACCCCCCCAGCAGCAGCAGCAACCGCCATACAGTACTCCAGCCGTGGTACAAACAGCAGGCCAGCCTCTCTTTGACAGTACAGCAGCTGCAGCTGCTGCGGCGGCAGCTTACAACACTCCTCAGTGGGGCATAGTAGACCTTTCTGGCCACCAGCATCTCTTCAGCAGCCTGAAACGTGGACAGGCTCCCCCACCAACTGCAGCCACGGTTACTCCTGACAGTCAGGCAGGCAAAGACGACAAGAACTATTTCCGTCGACTGAAATATTTCATTGATCGGCGATTCCCATGTGGCGTGTGCCAGAAGTCATTCAAGCAGTCATCCCATCTTGTTCAACACATGCTGGTGCACACAGGCGAACGGCCGTACGAGTGCACCACCTGCGGCCGTACCTATAACCACATCTCCAGTCTCATCCGGCATCGCCGTTGTCACAAAGACACTGAGGATGCTACTGCTGCTGCCAATGCAGTGGCTGCTAATGCAGCTGCTGCCAACGCAGCGGCCGCTAATGTAGCAGCTGCCAACATAGTGGCTGCAGCCACTGCTGCAGCCGCTGCTGCCGCCAGCATAACAGCAGCACCTGGCGCTGAGGGAGCAGCCCAGGCTCCTACCCAAAGCGGTAACCCCCAGTCAGTAGCTGCACCATCTGGTGGAACAGCCACATCTGCCCTCAGTGCTGCCATAGCTCAAGCCGAAGGTCCTTTTACCTGCTCTCTGTGCTGGAAAGTGTTTAAAAAGCCAAGTCATCTTCACCAGCATCAGATTATCCATACTGGTGAGAAGCCATTCTCCTGCTCCGTCTGCCAGAAGAGTTTTAATCGCCGTGAGAGCTTAAAGCGACACGTGCGGACACACTCAGACTTGTTGCGAGTCCAGTGTGGGGTTTGTGGCAAAGAGTTCCGGGATGCCTCCTACCTGCTCAAGCACCAGGCCACTCACGCTCCTCCTGGAACTTTACCTCCACGCCCCGAGTACAAATGTGACATCTGTGGCAAGGGCTACGTGGCTCCCCAGAATCTACTACGTCATCGGCAGCTCCAACACGAGGGTGTCCAGCTGTCCAAGGATGGCACCAATACCTTGCCTTATCTGCCACCAGGGGCCTACCTCCTTCCACAAGACCCACAAGGCACGGGCTCTGAGGGAGACACCAAGCCAACCTCCTATGGTCTCTTGGGTGCCCACCCCTTGCTGGTAGGGACAGCGGCAGGCAAGAATTTCTCCTGTGGGATCTGTGGCCGTGGCTTTGGACGACGGGAGACACTAAAGCGTCATGAGCGGATCCATACAGGTGAGAAGCCTCACCAGTGCGCAGTGTGTGGGAAGCGTTTCCGTGAATCTTTTCACCTCAGCAAACACCATGTAGTGCATACTCGGGAGAGGCCGTACAAATGTGAAATATGTGGGAAAGTGTTTGGTTATCCCCAAAGTTTAACTCGGCATAAACAGATTCACCGGTTACAGCTACCTTGCTCTTTACCACCCATGGGGCCCTCCCTGACCCCCATGGGCCCTTCTCTCCCTCCACCCCCTGAGGGACTAACCTATGGCTGTTCTGACTGTGGAGAGCGCTTTCCTGATCTTTTTCATGTCATGAGCCACAAGGAGGTCCATGTGGCCGAGAAGCCCTACCCTTGTGATGTCTGTGGCAAATGTTTTGGTTTCATTGAGAATCTCATGTGGCACAAACTTGTCCACCAAGCTGCTCCTGAGCGACTTATACCACCAGATGAAACAGCAGCTGCTGTCGCTCCACTAGAGAACGGGCTAGCTAGTGGTGAGAACATGTCGTCTTATGAAGATCATCCAACCTTGCCAAGTGGAGAACGTTTCTCCTGCTCTATCTGTGGCCAGACCTTCAAGCATTTCCTGGGACTTGTGACCCACAAGTATGTGCATCTGGTGCGTCGCACGTTGGCCTGCTCGGTCTGTGGACAAAGTTTTGCTGGAGCTTATGACTTGCTGTTGCATCGTCGCACACACTTGCAAAAGCGGCACTTCTCATGCCCAGTCTGTGGCAAGCGCTTCTGGGAGGCTGCCCTTCTCATGCGTCACCAACGCTGCCACACCGAGGAGCGCCCATACCGCTGTGCTGTCTGCGGGCGTGGTTTTCTGCGCTCCTGGTACCTGCGTCAACACAAAGTGGTTCACACAGGTGAGCGTGCTTACAAGTGTGCCCTCTGCAACAAGCGCTTTGCCCAGTCATCCAGTCTGGCAGAACACCAGCGTCTTCACGTAGTTGCCCGGCCTCAGCGTTGCCCGACTTGTGGCAAGACCTTCCGCTACCGTAGCAACCTTTTGGAACACCAGCGAGTCCACCTGGGTGAGAAAGTCTACCGCTGTGACCGCTGCTCCAAGAGCTTCTTCTATCTGTCATCCATTCTGCGTCACCAACGCTCCCACGATGCTAAGCGTGAATTGAGATGTGGGGCGTGCCTCAAGCTCTTCAAAGACCCCAAGTATTTTAGCAAACACCTCCAGGCCCATCAGGGAGGACGGCCCTTCAAATGCAGCACCTGCGGAGAAGCCTTCTCCAATACTTACGGCCTCAAAAAGCACCGTCACATTCACAAGATGGAGCGCTTTGCTGCCATGGGGGCCCATAAGGAACAGCCCTAATGTTGGAATAGTAGCAGCAGAAAAAAAAAATGGGTGGTCCGTATCTTGGTGCTGTAGGATGGGACATGAAGCTACTTCCAGGTTTCTGTTGAGCCACGATGGCAAGGCATTTCCATGTATAGAATATAAGATGTGCTTGTTAGCAGTGAGATGCTCCAGTTGGGCACTAATTTGGAAGAGTCATCAAATCATAAAGTCACGAGAGGACAAGCCAGGTAGAGGCAAGAAGGAATTGTAAACATAGGGTATGTAATTAACAAGAGGTAGTCGCCAGTTACCTGCTAGATTTCTGCTCTCTGACAGAGTATCTTGACCGCTCTGGATTTTTTAACTAATTGCCTAGGGAAAGGGAGATGGAGATAGCAATCATAGAAGTGACCTTTGCCTGTCAAGCATGGCCACGGTGTTGGGAGATGAAAGTTTCTTCCTGTTTCTGAGCAAATGGGAACAAATAAGGTTATGGTGGAATGACATTTTTTTTCATTTGAACCCTCCATTCTGGAATGGAAACCGTACGGCATTCCAATTCACAAGAATTCCTGTAATCCCCTTTACCTAGAGAGAAATGTTAGACCCAATTCATTCATTTGGGAATGAGACAGGAAGGACCATGATACAGCACTTGAGGAATGTCCACCAATCTTTTCTGTAAACTCAACTATGTAATCTGTATTAGGTAAGCCTTGTTTGCATTCTGAGAGAAAGACTTTAATTAGTGTCCTTTCTTCATATGTATAAAGAAAATAGGCTAGTTCTCAATTTTTTAAGACCTGGGAGGTAGTGAGACATGGCTGTGGACAGTAGAAAGTTAAAGGAGTCTGCTTGAATTGTCTAGTGTGTGGCACCTGTTGTCTAAATGCTGTTGTGCCATCACATCTCTATTATATTCCTGCCTCCAGAACAGTACCAGTTCATGATGCAACTGGAGGTTCACAAAACTCTACTATGGAAAAAAAATTGAGCCCAGAAGGTTTCTAGCCAAGCTTCCCTGGCATGCCACTTTCCACATTTAGGGAGCACTGAATGTTAAAAGGCATTTGAAGTTGTTATTCTTGCCATTATGCACCTCTGAAGAAGCAAAATCCCAGGATAATTATATTGTGTGCTTTTCTAAATGTTCAAGTTGGCCCATCAGGAGTAGACAGGAAATGCAAAAGTAGGCTAGGCTCCTTCCCCCTTGGGTTAGCTCTCTTTCTTTGTGCTCAATATCCTCCCTAATCTATTGGACTCAATATAGATGAACTCATGTGTGAATAATACCTTACTCTGAGCCCTAAAGTGGAATGTGGGTTTGGAGAGAGTTGTGACTGTGTACATTGTTAGCCTTCCCTAATGTTAGTCTTCCTTCTGCCCGCCACTGAAAGTTGGTTATGAAACTGTGTGTGAGAGAAAAATAAACTTAATTGGTGGGTCTACCAGGATTGCACAATGCTTTGGCTGCTCTCCTGCATTCCCTGGTTTGATCCATTACCCTTTCCTAATAAGACATGGTGTATCCACATTGTTCATTGAGCTAACTGCCCTGGCCTTGTAAACTCCATGGTTATTAGACTTGTATAGTGTTTCAGGTTTGACTCCAAAAAGGTTCTTCAAAGCACAAACACAGCATCAGGGATTGTGTGACTGCTGGAGATGTCTAAAAGTCATTCAACAGGTGTTGTGTTCATTGCCCCAAGCACTCCGAAGCACCTTATCAAATCTGAAGAAATGCAAAGCCCCCTTTTATACATATTCAACACCAGTCTGCAAATTCTCTGACTTCCCCCAATAACCTCTCTCCTTTCCTCCTCAATCCTTCAGCAAATTGTAGACATTGCAGCACACCTTTAAATAGACTGGAGGGAAAACTAATTTGCTAGATGCAACCAAAGAGTTCTAAAACCAGGTTCCCTTGTGTACAGGGGACACCACACAGGTAATTCCCGCTTCCTCCCCACCTCCCCTTGTAACCCAAGCTGACAGTACAACAAAGTAATTTCAGCATTTCCACTCTAGCAAAGTGAGAGCATCTCTTCTACCAGATGGCTGCACCAAAGCCCCCTGGTGCTGCTTTTGGTCTACTACCCACTTGCTCACATCCACAGTTCCCAGATTGGTGAGTGGCAATCTGTGATTATGAGGATCCAAAGATGTAATGTTTAAATTTGGTTGTCCAGTGCCTAGAAGGGGAAATGTTGCCAAAGGCTTTTTGAGCAGTAGAGAATAGAATTGGAGTTTATTGAGTGCAGGTATTTCTTAAGGCAGCCTCCCCCAAGCCCCCAGATTGGCCTACAATAGCTAACCACTCTCCATGCTCAGTGAGCACATTGGGAGGGAGAAGGGGTGGATAATGGCAGTATTTGTGAAAGGTACTATTATCAATGCTTCCTTGAAGAAATTGCCGCAGAATTCAGTGGCCAAATATAGAAATATGAAAAGAGACGGGAAGAAGACTAAAAACGTTTTCCAGCCTTCCAGACAATTTCCTCATTGGCTAAGCACAGGGGGGCAAATCATGTCCACTTTGAATCGGCCCACTTAGATTAGCGTCTGAAACGTACTGCTTCCTCTTCTATCTCCAGAAGTGATTGCAACTGGATGTTCCTTTTCTTGTTTTATCTTTGTACTAAATTGTTAAAGGTCTGGATTTGACACTGACATTCAGTGAATTGTGGTAGCTATACCTCAGTCTATCTTTTACAGAAATCATTTTCCCCATTTAGAACTTTTCTTCCCTGCCTTCACAATTTGCAAATAGGAGTGAGTTTAATACAGGTAGTCCTTGACTCATGAGCTCCAAATTTCTGTTGCTAAGTGAGACATTTGTTAAGTGAGTTTTGCCCCATTTTACAACCTTTCTTGAAACAATTGTTAAGTGAATCACTGCAGGTGTTAGTAACATGGTTGTTAAGGGAATCTGGCTTCCCCATTGACTTTGCTTGTCAGGTCACAAAAGGTGATCACATGATCCTAGGGCACTGCAACTGTCATAAATATGAGTCAGTTGCCAAGCACCTGAATTTTGATCACGTGACCCTGGGGATGCTGCAATGATTGTAAGTGTGAAAAATGGTCATAAGTCACTTTTTTCAGTGCTATTGTAACTTCGAACAATCACTAAATAAATTGTTGTAAGTCAAGGACTACCTGTATTAGTTTTTCTTCTTATATGTACTTTCTGTGCTTTGCAGGACTAGATATTTCTAAATTGTATATAATTTAGAAGCCCCCTTGACAGCTCCCCAAACTGGGAACTTGTTCTTACAGGAAAGGCTGTTATTGGTTAATAGTACCAATTTCTTCATCTTGGGGGAAAAATGAGTTCACCATGACTAATCAATAGGTGATGTTCCTGTTAACTGGCTTCATAATAGCTTCCCAAATGGGCAATGGAATGTGAAATGGAGAAACAAGTTGATCAAAGAACATACTGTGTTCCCAAAATCACTAAATTTATGTCTTTTTCTCAAGGATACAGGATTTCTAAAGAATTTCTTAAAAATTGCAGGCCTAGAATATAGGACACAAATTTTATGATTGAGGATGCCTATGGAATGCTTGCTTCAGTCACAGAATTGGTGCAAACACATTTGGCTAGGTCTTGCTTCTTAAGTCAAAATGGTGGCCTGTTTCCTAGTCAGAAGACAATGCAGTCATCCAAGTATGTTTATATAATCCCACTTAAAAGGAATTAGTTGACCTTAACTAATTCTTGTAATTCATGTACTTAGAATCTGAACGTTTGAAAAACTGCAAAAGTGGAAATACATTTACTCTTTCAATGTATAGTTGACAAACAAAGAGAAGAAGCTGAGAGTGCAAAATAGCTCTTTTCCATTTTTCTAGCTCTAGCAAACTAAATACCTAAAAGATGGATGGGTAGAGTGTTTGTTATTAGGGACATATCCAATCACTGTTACTATCAGGATTATTTGCATCCATTCCTCATCCTAGGAACCATTTGATTTGTCCAAATCTCTTTTCTCTGTTGTGGTTGGATTTGTTAGCGGGTGCAAGTCATGCCCCCCAAAATGTATTAGTGACAAAACACCTAGAATTTCCAGTTTATCTAGGACAGTAGTTCTCAACCTGTGGCCCATGGACCCCTGTGGGGCCAAGATGTCATCACAGTGGGTCCGTGAAGGCTTGAAGAAATTTATGATTTAAATCTTAAGTTAAGTCTTGGTGGTCCGTGGCCACAAAAGGTATTTAAAGGGGGTCCATGGTGAAGAAAAGGTTAAGAACCATTGATCTAGAAGGTATGAGGACTCTAGTCAAGTTGAGAGTTAAGGGGCTAGAAAGCAGTATTCCATGGACAGAGTTGTGTGGGAAGAGTTTTTAAGGGAGTGGTGGGTTGTTGAGATGAAGTAGTCTAGTTTTTAATTGTGGTTGGGAAATTGAGTTCTTTTGAAGAACCAGTTGTTTTGGAGTGTGTAATCAAGAATGATCAACCATCTTTTCCACTGTACTCTTCTGCCTTGCGTATGTTCTTGGATGGATTGTTAATCCTGAATGTACATCACTAGGATGCTGGATATCCTACAGATGCCCACGTCCACTTGGCTTTGTTTGCTTCATCCTGGAACTATGAAGTAGAGGGCAGGGAAGATATTCCATCTTTTGCTGGCATCAGACTTGATTTTGCTTTTTTGAGATGTCACTTGATACACAGCCATCTTCTCAGAACTTCTTCAACCCTCCTGTTCTTTGAGGAACATGGACTCTATAGTTCTCTGACTGGTACTGTTGCCCTGTACTCTCCTTTCTCATCTCATACAGGGAGATGGATGTCTTTAAGACAGGACTTGAACATCCCCAAACTAGTGACAATTGCAAACTCAGAATAAAGAGTATACCATTGATAGGACCCAACCCATTGCAATCATGTTAGCTAATGACTTTTTATATTAATACAGATATATAAATACATACATTTCTATATAAATACTTTTTAATAACCTCCCCTCCTTTTCCCATTGGCCAGAGTGCAGGAAGTGCAGTTCTTTTGATGCCAAGGTTTA